CACCGAGCACCTGCAGTGCCAAAAGCACCACACGTGGCCTGGCCCTGCCCTGGCAGGTTCCAGTCTGGTGCAAAATGTGGCGTGAAGGAGCAGGTGTGATGGTCACAGACTGCAGAGAGTCTGGCCAGAGACTCACAGGGTGCGATGGTGCAGAGTGAGGAGGGACCGAAGGGCCACCAGTGACCAGTGTGACAGACACTGCCTTGGAGAAAAGGCACCAGCTAGAAGAGGAGATGGAGGCCTGATCTAGGTTCTGGGAAGCAGTCCTTGAGGGCAGGGCTCTGTGACCAAGACCCAGATATCAGTGGGAGATAACAGGGCTGGAGGTAGAGGTCCGCAAGTGGGAAGGAAGTCAGAGTTTGAGAGAGTAAAAAGAGGACCAAACTGGGCTGAGCATCATGGTGCACACCTGGATCCCAGCACCGTGGGAGGCTGAGGCAGGAGGTTTGCAAGTTCAAACCCAACCTAGGCAACTTAGCAACATGTGTGCACACATATACACACACACAGACTCAACTTGGCTACAGTACAGAGAAGATGGCAGGACAGGAAGCTGGGTCAGTGTCACCACATGGCTTTCCCAAGGCCACGGGCTGAAGATGTGCTGACGAGGCAGGCAACACCTGCAGGAGTTTATGAGTAGGAGGGGTTGCCCTGGCTTCTGCGTGGCAGCTGGCTGTGGGAGGTGGGCATGGCCCTGTGGCGATCAGTTAGGATGACATCTACAGTGTCGCGTGAGATCGGAGGCTGGGGCTTCCTTCACAGTGAAGAGGACGCAGGGTGACGGGAGTCACAAGCTAGAAGCGGTGAGCTGTGAGCGTGACACTTCCCCTCTGAGCTTCCCCCTCCCACCTTCGCTACTCAAAGGCCACTGAGCTGGGTACAAAGGCACTGTTGGGGCCCGTGCAGCTCTGGCTGAAGCAGCCTCTTCCATGCAGCACGCTCTGCGTGGTCCGCGTGCTCGTGGTCACTGGGGAAGCACTGAGAGGTGCTGCACTCCTCCAGCACAGCCTTGACCGTCTCAGCTGCAAAGGGGCTCTCACAGGGCCTAACGATGGCCAGAAAAGCACAGAAGGCCTGCATTAACTGAGCACCTACCATGTGCCAGCCTCTGAGCCCCACACAGAGAGAATCGGGGAGTAACACAACATAATCTCTGCCATCCAGGCATTCATCGTCACCCGGAATCCAAAAAAGCAAATAAGAGCTGATGCTAACTCACCAGATTTAATTGTTGCAATATTGTTCCCGCAAGGCCCTTAGAATTTTTTTCTTTCTATCCTTTTTGTTTTAACAAAAGAAAAAAATCCAAACTGCAGGGCAGTAGGTTTCCACACCTCTCGCATATTAATTTTTATCTATGTGTGAAATCAGAGAGAAACAGCAATAATTTGTGCTAAGAAAGATGGATGGGGAGTCATGACTGGCAAATTGAAGCCAAACAGAGCCATCAATTGGCTTAATAAGGCAAAGAGGGGCCTGAGAGGCAGCAGGCAAGCAGCTTGCCGAGGACAGATGGCCGCCGCGCCCCACCAGGGACGGTGTCCTCCACCCTTGGCTCCCAAGCCACCAGACAGTGGTGCTGGCCAGGCCTTGAGCGTGAGCGCCCCTTCCTGCCAGGGCGGCAGCAGACTCTCTGGCTTTCTCCCCTTCACGGAGTCCTCTCTGCAGTCCTATGGGGAGGGCAGCATCATTAGCACCATCTGATGGGAGGTGAACTGAGGGCCCAGAGAACTTAGGTCACTTGTCCTAGCCCACAGTCCAGGGCTGACTCTAAGCCTGGCCAACTTGCGAGGACAATGTGCCCACATAGGCCAGACAGGGATTCTGGAGCTGGAAAGGTGCCCCTCCTCCACACCTTGTCCACGGTCTGCAAGCAGTGTGGCGCTCCTTGGCAATGTCTTCACTGAAGGTCATAACAGACTCTAGAGCAAAAAGATCTATCCATTGCTCTTCTACTGCAAATCTCAGTCAGTCCTGCAGTCACTTGACAAATTCCCAGTGAGTATTCTGCTGTGTATTGTACATTGGACTGGTGCTAGAGGTATAAAAGAGGAAGAAAATATTTGTATTTTCCACTCAGCAGATATTTATAATTATCCACTGTATTCCATGCACCTTTATGGAATAGTAGAATATCACCATGAATATGACTTGGGGGGTGGTTTCCATGGCAGCTGCTGGAATGAAGCATCCTGAGTCAGGTCCCAGATGTCTCACTTACTAGCTGTGTGTCTTTGAGCAAGTAGCTTAACTTCTCTGAACTTCCTTCTTTGAAAAAGGAACAGTGGCTGTTTGCTCTGTAAATATTCACTGAGTGCATACTGAGTGCCAAGAACCCCTCTGGGTTGCAGCAGCAACCAAGCCCAGCTCTCGCAAAACTTGGCCTTCATGGAGAGATGCCCAGGGAAGCAAACGGGCAAAGACGGGTGTTCTGTTTGGAGTTGGTGACAGGAGATCCGAAGAGAAACCGGGCAGCAGAGGAGGGGAGAGCGGAGGGCAGCCAAACTTGAGCGGAGTCCACTGCGGCTGAGGGGAACCCGGGAGAAGGCTCTGCACTGGCATCCAGCGCGCTGTGAACCGCAGCCTGCTGTGGCCCAGCCCACTCCAAATCGCCGTGCCGGCTTCTGTTGCTTATCGCTCTGTCCCTCTGACAGTGGAGGCGAAGCTTGGTCAAGACCTGTGCTTAGGAGGAGAGAATGTTCAAGCTCTTTAATGCTCCTGAAAGGTGGAGGTGCCTCCGGGGGTCTGGGGGGACTGTCCTGCTCGTCACCTCCCTGTGCCGCACCCTTCTCCCACACTGACCACTGTACCCACCAGCTCTCGCCAGGCTGGAAACTCAGAGCAGCCTTCCCAGGCACCACTCGGGAAACCACGTCCTAGGAACCACTTCAGTCCTGAAGCTAAACATTCCGGTACCGCCTGATTTGTGACCCTCAAGAGTCATGTGGCTCTTTATGGAGCACACATCACTTTTTGATATTCTGGTCATTAGATTTTTTATGATGTTATATATGCTTCTGGTAAAGAAAAAATTTTTTCAAGAAATATGAAAGTGTAAAATCACTTTTGTATTCATGATGTCAACCAATCCGTGCAAGAAGCTCATTGAAATCAGTGTGATGGCCCATTTTCCAACTTGTTTTTCTCACTTAAAACATGGGGAGCATTTTCTTATATTCCTCAGCATTCTTAGAGAACATGGTGCTTGATAAGTTCCTGGACAGAGTACAGTTATTTCACCAAACATATGTGAAGAAATATTTGTGTTATTTTTTGTTTTTGTTTTTAACTCTTAGAAAGTAACAATAAACATCTTCATTCATAAATCTGTGTGCAAATCTCTGAGCCTTTTCATAGGATAAGCTCCCGAAAATCTAATTTAGGTCCAAGTCTCTGAACATATTTTCCAGACTTTTCAATAAATCGCCCCTACAGCTTGCATCCTAATGAGTCGTGAACAAGACTGGCCGCTTCCCTGTAGCGTCTAGATCTTACTGCTGCTTCTTATCTTGGCCAGCTAGGTGGGTTAAAGCAGAATGTATCTAAAGACTTGCATTTCTTTTGTTGTTAGTGAGGCCATATTGTGTCAGGGCTCTCTGAGTACTATCTGTGCATTTCGTCATTTGTGCCTGTTTATGTCCTTGGTGACCACTTTGTAAATAAAAGTCAGGGCTCTACGGGCCCCATCGAGTCCTTATTAAAGTCCTCCCCACTGTGATGCACATGTGCATGGCGCCAGTCATGGTCTCCTGCTCTAAGACAAGTCCCTTCCAGACTCTCTCTTCTCCCCATTGTTCCCACCCAGCCCAGCCTGGTCCCTTATGTCTCCTCCTAGCTAGAGGTGGGGTGGGCCAGGAGACGATGAACCTCTCTCTCTCTCTTTCTCTCTCTCTCTCTCTCTCTCTCTCTCTCTCTCTCTCTCTCTCTCTCTCTCAATCCATCCCTCCCACCCCTACTTTCTGGACCCAGCCCCTTGTGGAGGAGCAGTGCACAATGCCACCATCGGCCGGGTCCTCTCCCCCAGTCACCCTGGTAACAGCAACGGGAGCCAGTTCTGCGTGTGGACCATCGAAGCACCCGAGGGACAGAAGCTGCATTTGCACTTTGAGAAGCTGTCACTGCATGACAAGGACAGGTAAAGCCCTACGAGGCACAGCCCGACAGGTACTCCCGCTCAGCCTCTTTCCCTCCCAGAGCATCGGGATGTCCCTGGGGATCCCCAGTCCTGGAACGGTGAGAACTTTGGCCCCTGGACTCCAAGAGAGATGGAGCGGGGAGGCTGGCAAAGACCCTGGTGGCCTTCAGCATCCACTCTCCCCATTTCTGATAAGGAAAGTCATATACACCAGGAAAAGGGCCTGCCCAGGTCACACAGCAGGTGACAGGAAGAGGCAGGAGGGAGTCAAGGCCCCCACTTCCCGCTGCTCATCTCTCTCCCGCGTGGCACGTTTTGCAGGTGGACGAGGAGGGGGTGACTGCAGGGCACCTGCTCTGTGCCCAGCTCCTGTGTGGCTCTGTGGCAGAGGAGACTGGCTCAGAGCAGAGGAAGCGGGCTCCAGTGTGACAGGACCGGGCTGGTGCTCAGGGAAGGAGGGAGACGCTGGTAGACAGCACCAGAGCACATCTTCAGCCCTGTGGGAGATGCATGCAATCCCGAACTGTAACCCCCGCTCCCCCCATTCCGGTGAGCTGTAGGAAACCAGGAGCTCCCCCGCTTGGCTTTGCTGACTTAGTCAGGTCCCACCGGAAGCAGATGTGTGACCAGGATGTGACTTGGGAGTGGGTCCTCATGGGCACAGGTGAGGGCAGGGAAAGGCCAGTGGAGAGCACAGGCCATGTTAGCACACAGGGGCTGCTGGGACAGCTGCAGGTGTGCCCACAGGGAGTGGTCCTGCTGGCACGGTGTGGAACCCTGGTTGGCTGTCCACAAGCCCCAACCTGCCATGGGGAGGAGAGGTTCTCGCGGCCCACAGGCTCCCCTCCAGGCTGGGCTGAAGGGCCCTTGGGGACTTTGGGTGGACAGGAAGCCACAGAGCACAGAGAGCTGGGGAGAAAAGCTGGGGAGAGGGCGCCGTCACCACCTTCTGCTCTCCCGGGGTACCAGCACCTTGGAACTGCGGAACCTGACGTTCTGTGATCGCAATTCTTCTGTCATGGCATTTTTGACAGAAGAGGAAATCTCATGGGGCTTTTCGGTGACATCAGAATATCCCACGGGTCCCCAGCCCTTCCTCCTGGAGCAAGAAAGACATGAAGAGAACCATTAGCGAGACTGTTACAGGGATGCTGTAGCAGAGGCATGAATCTGGAAGGAAAAATGAGGGTTCTCTCCAGAAGGGCTTAGAATAGCAGGCTGTTTCTATAGGTCATGGGGAGCTTTAAAAGGATTTGGAGTGAAAGAAAAAACATGAAGAATTTCACATGATTTCTCCAAAATTGAGGACTTTCTGAACTCCTGCTCCATTACAAGCAGTTTAGAAGATGGGTTATCTGGTCAAATATGTTTGCAAAGTGTGTCTTGCAAGCTCCTATGGTATACATTAGCCAGCAAAGGCACTGATAAGTTCTGCAGGGAAATAAAATGTTTGATTCTTGTTTAGCTCAGCACTGCCCATCCCTATGGACCACAAACTGGGCAAGGATTTGAGACTAACTTATTGCTATCATAGACGTTCCAGGGAACATAGCTGGGAAAAGAACTATTTTTAGAAGATGAATAGACTTTAGAGGTTTCGAGATCTTAGGGTTTTTATTGCTGATCTTTATTGAAGCCTTCTTTTCTTTGAGAAAAGATTCTGGGTGCCCAGCAGAATTAGCAGCGTTCAGAACTGGAGGTGCCCTCTCCTCTCCCCACCCTCAGGAACCGACTTGACCACCCCACCCCACATGGCAGCCTCTGAACCTGGGGCAATGAGCAAACTGGCTCCAGCGTCCATATACTGATGGCTCTAGAAATTCACCCACCAGCTTCGAATAAACCCTTTTTATGTGGGCAGTAAAGAAAAAAAAACCTCAATAGATTAAAAGTGTGTGTTTATAACTCCATAAAAATATTTACATAATTTGTGAGCTGTTTACTTCCTCACTTTTGCATAATTTCTTTTAAACTGCCTGGGCTAGCAAGGAGTCAAGTATTACATAGTTTTCATAACAATAAAATGAATATCCAACCTTTTTTTCTAAGCCATTTTCATGTCCAGGGCACTTTATTCTGATATATTGTCAAAGCCCACCTGTAACTCAGGAAGGAAAGATTTTACAAGCCCTCTTTCACAGCTGGGAAGCTGAGGCCCAGAAATGTTTTGCGAGTTGTGTAAACTCAGTTGAAGGGGAGCTGGGAACCGGAAATGAGGGCTGCTGATGCCCCAAATAGCTCTCCTGAGAAATGGGGGTCAGAGGCAGGGCCCGAGAAGCCCAGACTCTGTAAACAGCACTTACACCTGCTCTGCCTTGGCATGCTTTGTACCATGCTCTCCAAGCCCCACACCCTGTGTGTACCATCCTACAGATGAGAAACAGAGCTCAGAGAGATGAAGTGTTCTGTCCTAAGCACACAGCTCAGAAGTTGCAGAGTTAGGGCTAACTGATCTGCCTAACTATGTATGTAATGGCCCCAGCAATGGTCATAGTCCATTAATCCCAACTTCTTAGTTAATAATAATCAACATCAGTTAATTCATCTAATTCATTAATTTTACCATACACATCACTTTCCCTGCAACTTCTGAATGCATCTGTTAAAAAAAAATCCTCCAGAAAAAACTGAGCCTAGTGATGCTTTCCTCTAATTCCAGCTACTCAGGAGGCTGAGGCAGGAGGATCACAAGTTCAAGCCTGACCTGGGCAATTCAACAAGACCCTGTATCAACATAAGAAATAATAAAGGGCTGGCAATATATCTCAATACAAAGGCCCTGGGTTCAAACCCTATTGCTGCCAAAAAAAAAAAAAAGAGAGAGAGAACAAAAAAGAGGTATAATGTAGGGCAAGCATTAACCTACTTCACAGAGGAGGGAAGAGGTTAGACCAGGGGAAGCGGCCTGTGCTGGCAAGAAAGGGGCCCTGGCAGGGCTTGCACCTGGGATGGGGCCAGCATGGCGGCGTGGCACAGCCCTCCACAGCCAGTGGCCCCTCTGCTCTCCCTGCAGGATGGCGGTGTACAGTGGACAAACCAACAAGTCCGCCCTCCTGTACGACTCCCTGCAGGCCGAGAGCGTCCCCTTCGAGGGGCTGCTGAGCGACAGCAATGGCATCCGCATCGAGTTCACGTCCAACCAGGGCCAGGTGGCCTCAGCCTTCAACATCCGCTTCGAGGGTGAGGGTCACGGGAGCGGGAGCCCAGCCAAGGGGCGCCTGGGAGGGGCAATGCGGGTTGCTGGGGAGGGGTCCTGGCAGGCGGGCTGGTGCTTCAGTTTGCAAGGGCAGACTTTGGTTTTATCACAGCAATGCTGAGCACAGACTGCATATCCAGGCCGTGTGTGTGTGTGTGTGTGTGTGTGTGTGTGTGTGTGTGTGTGAAGCCCCAGCCTTTTTCTGTCCATTTATTTTTATTTTATTTTGAGACACCTTGTCACTAAGTTCTTTAGGCTATAGCCTCAAATGTGTGAGACTTCTGCCTCAGCCTCCTGAGTAGCTGGAATTAACAGCATGCACCACCCAATGCGCCTGACTTTTGTACATTTTCTGGGCCCCTTGCCACACTAATTATTAGAACTGTTATTATTATGTCTGCTTTTGGATGAGGTACGGGGGCCTGAGATGGCTTGCTGAAGCATCAGTCCGTCAGAAGAGAGCCTGAGATTTCTGGGCAGCCCACACGGTTCCTCCCGCTCTGCCCATTCCCTCTGCCTCCTCCAGGCAGTTACGGGACCCAGGAAAAGGCTGCTCCATGTTTCACAGCCCGGGGTGCTTTCTGTCCCAGCTCCCCGGAAACAGACGGTCTGGGCCATAGACAGACTGCAGCTTCCCGTGGCCAGTGATGGGCCATGGGGAGGACACCAGCTTTTCACACAGGACGGCAGAGAGATTCCAAGAATCCACGCACGAGGCTGAGGGCAGGCTCTCACGGGTCTTTGGGCCCCAGAACAGGATCCTCATTTTCCCCGGAGCTTTCCCTCTCTCTATCCCTTTGTACTGAGCAACATTCCCAGCCTTTATTATTTTATTATGAAATAGGATCTCACTAAGCCATTAAATTGCCAAGACTGAGCTCAAACATCCCATTCTCCTGCCTCAGCCTCCAAGAGCACTGGAATTATAGGCGTGCACCACTGTACCCCGCTCCTTGGAGCCTTCCTGAACAGCGGGAGGGACCCCACCTTCTAAAGGCAGGACAAGGGACTCATCCTGGCTGCTGTCCCTTTTGCGTCCCCACGCAGCGTTTGAGAAAGGCCACTGCTATGAGCCCTACATCCAGAACGGGAATTTCACCACGTCCGACCCAACCTACAACATCGGGACGGTAGTGGAGTTCACCTGTGACCCCGGACACTCCCTGGAGCAGGGCCCCGCCACCATCGAGTGCGTCAATGTGCGAGACCCATACTGGAACGACACGGAGCCCCTGTGCAGAGGTGAGTGGGCGCCCCGGGGCTCACCTCCTTCAGCTGAGACGCTGGGGCCTTGACCTAAACACGGGGCTGTACTGCATGCAGCCTTTCCATGGCTCGCCATCCTGTGGGTCGGGGTTGCTGCTGGGCCTTGGGGAAAGTACGGAATGGATAAATTTTAAAAGGTACCCCTTCTTCCAGGGACAGATAGCACAAGGCAGCCCTGAATCTCATTAATGGGCTAATACTAGGTGCAAATAGGTATGCGGGAACGCTATGATGGGCATGCTGCTAAGGGCTGAATGTTCACTGGCTGACTTCATCCTCACTGCTCTATAAAGTAGATGTTATTAGCCCTGTTTGCAGATAAGAACAATGGGAAGTGACATTCCTAAGAGTACACAGGGTAACTGATAGAGACAGGGATAGAACCTAGGTCTCCCTATTCTCAGAGGCCTGTGCTTTGAGCCGCCTGTACCCCACAGGCTGAGCAGAACCTCATCTGCATGGGCTCCCAGGGTCCTGCCCTCCCCCGTCCCATCCATCCCAAGGCTGCAGAGCCAGCCCAGGTCTGGTGTGCCCAGCAGGAGTCACTCAGGGTGTCCTGGTCCCCGGCAGACTGGCTGGTGTTGGAGTGAAATTGTACTCTTGCCATGATGAGAAAGTGATCCCTGTATTAAATTTGCTGGTTTAACACAGCAGAATTTATTGATTCTTTGGCCTCAGCCGCGTTGAGAGCTTTCCAAAGTGGTAAACACAGAGTGAAATTTAAAGAGCACCAGACATGGCCGCATCTCTGCTGCCTTCCCAGAGCTGGAACCTTTCACAGTGATGTTACCTGGCCCAGTGAGCACTCGCCATGTACCAGGCGTGATGCCGCAAGCTCCGTGCCTGATCGTAGTCAGGCCTGGTGCTGACAGCCATGTAGTTCCCCGTGACATGGAGGCAGTAAGCTGACACTAAAAGAAGTTATGCACCTCGCCACCATCACGGAGCCCCTGCCTTGACTGCATCCTCTGGCCTCCAGAGCTTACAGAGGCCAGGCTGCAGGACTGGTTCAGCCTTTTGAGCTCTGTCCATGGTGCTGAAAGCACCACATGCTCTTAGCCCTGCTCCACCAGCCCTCAGCCCAAGAGCAAGCAGGGGCCAGCTGGTCACCTGTCCCCTGACCCATGGGCACTGACAGATGGGTGTGAAGGAGCCTGAGCGTGACAGGAGAGGTCCACACTCTGACTCAGCCCCTTCCCCCAACCGCTGTGCCTCCTTCGCTTCCTTACAAATAAAGTCTGTCTATGTGTCTCTTTTCCAGCCACGTGTGGTGGGGAGCTGACTGCCGTGGCTGGGGTGGTGCTGTCCCCAAACTGGCCGGAGCCCTACGTAGAAGGGGAGGACTGTGTCTGGAAGATCCACGTGGGGGAAGAGAAGCGGATCTTCCTAGATATCCAGTTGTGAGTGCTTTTTGGTGCCCCCTCCCCCAGTCCAGCCGGGTTGGGCAGATCAGGGAAGACATTGTTCGTGCCTTATTCTTTCAGCCATTATTAATGAAGCATCTGCTATGTGACAGGGCCTGGGTGTAGCCCTGGTATCCTCAGGGTGGGACCAGCAACAGCAGCAGCTTATACACTCAGAGTCCCTGTCTTCAAGAAACCCACTCACTAAGATGTCAAATAAGCACTTGCACAAGGAATTGCTTACTGTAACTTCAATAAGCAATGTAAGGGCTTATGGTGCTGTGAGAATCTACACTGGGAATGTAAGCTAAAGGAGAAGGTCAGAAAGTAAAGAAGGAAGTCAGAAAAGGCCTCCCCAAGGATCAGAACTAACAGAGGAGTTGGAGGATTAATCCAAAGGGACAGAATGTGCAAAGGCCCTGTGGTAAGAGCAGGCATATCCTTTTCAAAGACCAAATGGCCAGTGTAGGTAGGAAGAGAAAAACATCCTACCATTCACTCACTGTCTTTGTCCCCCAGCTGACGGGTACCCCCGACAGCAGGTCTCATATCACTTTTCTATGTCCAGAGAAGGACACGAAGCCTGACACAGAGAAGGAGCTCAGGAAATAATGTCTGAAGGGAACCACATCCAATCCAATGGGCTGTGCATCTGTTTCCTGTGCTCTGTGGGAGATGCCGTGGGAGGCTTTATGGAGAATATCCCCTCCCCAACTTCCCAGAGGGTGACACTGCTGGGGACACTAGGCAAGCTTCAGAGGCAGTTGCCCTAAAAGTTTATGCCACTTTCACCTCATGAAGAAGCCACCTAGAGGGGACTTCAGGGGGGAAACCTCGGAAGTCTAGGGGGACCACAGAGCTAGCAAGGAGCAGAGCTGGAAGCCAGGCCGTGGTGGCTTCTCACCATGCCCTTCCCACTCCCCTGTGAGACAGGGTAAGAAGGGGGGAGACAGATGGCAGCTTCTGGAGAAAGCTGGAGAAAGATTTCCAGGGAGAGCAGTTGGCTGAGGGGAAGGGGGACAAGGCTGACAGAGAAGAGGGGACCCCCTTGCGAGCACTTGCTGGCTGGCTTTGGGTGCTGTCCACAGTGTGGCAGAAGCGAGCTGGCCAAGCTTGGACCTGGGGCCTGGCCAACCTGGGGAAAGGTCCACCAGCTTCTGCTGCCAGCCGCTGACAGTGAGCTTCTCTGGGAGTCTGTTTCCTCCTCTGTTGTGGGCTTCTTAAAACAGTGCTCCGTGGGTACAGAGACAGGTGGCATGTACGCGGCCTGCACCCCACGTGTGCACACCCTGCTCCCTCCCTCTGCCTCCTCTCCTCCTCCCCACACCCTTCCCGCTTGCCCTCTATCCCCCTCTTTCCACTTCTCCCTTCTCTCTCCCCTCTCCTCTGGCCCCTTTTCTAGGGTGCTCGCTTCCCCAAACAGAGGTCTTTAGCTTCTTGACTCCCCAAATCTCCTTTCTCTATCTAACCTCTCTCTCCAAAAACACTTCTAATTTCTTACCCCCAAACCACTCTCTGGCCTTCTGTCTCCCTAATATTTCCATCTCTGACCTCTTTCCTTAAACGCCTTCTCATCCTGACACTCCCCAAAGCCGTTCCGTCTTCTGCCTTCTTTCTGGAAACACTTCCTACGTGGACCTCTTTCCCACAGCTCGCCAGAGCCTGCTCCCAGCGGCTCCCCTCCAAAGCCTGGCTTCTCCCTCGCCTCTCCTGCATGCGCCCCGCTGCCCTCTCCCCAGGACATTCTCTCTCTGACTCTTACCCCGAACCCTTCTGTCTCCTCCCTCCCTCCCTCACCCACTTCCTCAAACCTTTCTCCCCTCTTGCTCCCCTTCCCTTCCCCTGCTCTCTTCCCTCTGGCCTCTCATGTCTGGAGTAAGAGGCTCCTTTACTCCCTCTGGACAGTGTCTGTCCTGTGCCGGTGGAATTGTAGGCCTGTCAGAAGGTCCTGGTAGCTTTTCCTTCAGCATTGAAGTTTATCTTGGACAGCGTGATGGCCAAAGGACATCCCAAAGGTGCCACGTCCAGGTCTCTCCCCAGGCCCTGGCCCCTGCCATCTTCCCCGCCTTGGTAAAGAGCAATGCATTCTACCAGCTGCCTGGGAAAAAGCAAAGCAGACCAACTGACCACGGCGTCATTCCCGCTCCATGAAATTCTGGGAAACAGGCAACACCTGCCTGGTCTCTGCAAACGGACACAGTGGCCAAACACTGGTAGTAGCACTTGCCAGTTTCCAACGTAAAGGCTTCCATCGTGGTCAGTGTCAAAGTGAGGATAGAGGTTCACCAAAAACTGGACCCTGGAAATGAGCTCTACAGTGCTAGAAGGAACTGGCCTCTGCACTGTCACTGTGAGCTGGACTCCTGTTTCTCCCACTCTACATCTAAATCTTCAGAAAATTCTGCTGATCCTTCTCAAAGGTAAAAACACACCCACAGTGCAGGCACCTCTGACCACTGTACTGCTCACACCAAAGTCCGCACCACCATCATTTTGTCCCAGGGTTATTGCGAGGACTCCCCTCTGGTCACTCTGTTCCCGCTTCTGCTCTCCGTTGGCTATTTCTAACGCAGTGTCCTATGACAGCCTCAATCAGACCATAATGTGTGACACTGCTTAAAACTCAAGAGTCGTTTCTCATTTTGCTCAGCCTTGAACCAGACAGATGCCTCTGGCCCTGGGAGCCGCAGTGTGTCTGGAGCCATGGGACACACAGGGGCCCGGGCCCCGGGCGGGAGATCCAGGCGGGGAGCAGATGTGAAGAAAGAGCTTTCCTGGGGAGGTGGTGTCTGAGGCAGGGCTTCTCCACCAAGCGGGCCATCCACCCAGGGGCCCTGCCAGTGTCTGGGCACCAGCAGCTGTGACTTGGAAGACACACTTGGCACCAGTGGGTACAGACAGGGGTGCTCCAAGCAGCAGACAGGCACTACTGCAACAGATTAGCTGACCCAAATGCCAGCAGTGCCCGGGAGAAGCCCTGTCAAGGGACAGAGACAAGATGGGCAAGTGTGGTGGGAGCCGCACTCATCCTGAAGAAGAGGCACGTGCTGAGGTCACCAGCTGTGTTACTTGCTCGTGTTTCTACATCCCAGGCGTCTTCACAGCAAGCCCATGCACTGGATAGTGTTATCACCATTTTGCAGGTGAGTAAACTGAGGCTGTGCACAGCTTGGACTTGGTCTTGAAAGGAGCTAAGGGAAGGCCCAGGGGTCCAGAACACCACGATGAAGCTTCCCGGAGGCTGTGAACGCAGAGGTCCTTGAAGCCACACTGGGGTGTCTGGACTTCCTTGAACAGGGCAGCACGGGCTGAGTTTTAAGCACTTAATGGATTCAAAGCTTGCAGAAGGCGGGAGTGCTCAGGTCACCACCCGCTGCTGTCTCTGGCAGACTCTGGCTCCTGCTCTGCGAGGTGGCGTCCGCCACAGCATCTCCTACTTCCACAGACAGAGTGAGAAAAGCAGCTCCCCAGCCAGGGTGCTGGGGGCCCCGAGCTGCCGGGTCTCATTTATCTTGCTTGGTTTCTTCTGACAGTTTTAGTAAACCAATTTGGGTTTGATAGTAAAAATAATTCTGTCCTCAGGGCCCCTCTGCACTCCTAAGCATGACAGTCCTTACAGATAGGGGGAAAGGAGCTGGCACTGCAGACCGGTGGGTAGGTGACCCTGGCGTGCGCTGGCAGTGGTGGCCAGTCACAGGAGCCAGGCACGAGGGGGGGGTGAGGTGGGTAACTTCCTGCTGTCTTGGCCAGAGCATTAGGATAACAGTTGGTGCCCGGGCCATGGGAGAATGGTTCCAATTAGTCACCGTTTACTAAGGACCTACTATGTGCTGCGGCCTGAGCTCTGTGGTTTACATCCATGAGTAATAATGAATGTTGAACATTATTCTGTAGAGATAATAATTACACAAATTACAGCTAATGAGAGTAGAGGTAATTACAGAAGAGTAATTATCCAAATCAGGGAGAATGTCTGAGAAGCTGTCATATGGTATCTGGTGTGTCGCTGGGGCTTCACAAAACAGACACTGTGACTATCCGGCGGGTATTATCACTACCACTTTAGGAGCTGGGAAACGAAAGCCCAGAGAGGTTCAGCCACTTCCTCAAGTTGCACAGCCAGTGAAGGTTGAGCCTATCACGACGTCCTTGTTCCTTGACTGGGACAGGCTGTGGGGGAAGCAGCTGAAATCTCAGCAGAGACGTGAGGCCCCCAGGCCTGTGGGACCCAGAGTTCAGCAAGGGCCCAGGCAGCACAGAGAGGCAGGCAGAGCACTGTGGCTTGGCCGGGAGGTGGAGGTGCTGGGTTTATCTGTGCGGTGTGGGGTGTCACAGGAAGGCGACCTGCAGGCAGAACACTAAAGGGCATCAGAGGTGAACTAGAGGGAGGAGGGCTCCCAGGAAGGGCCCCGGAGGAGGACAGCAGGCCGTGCTTCGGTGATTCAGGAACAGAGGGGTGTCCTGAACTGGGGTGCCAGTTAGGATCTGCCTGGAATTGGCGTGAAGGTGGGAAAGGGTGGGGTGCTTACAACCTGGAGATGAGCCAGGGGCTCAGGTGTAACCTCCTCTGCACCCCAAGTGGCTCCCCAGCCCCCACATACCCGGGGCTCCATCAGGAAGTTGCTTCTTTTCCTACCTAAAAGCACAACTGGATCTGAACTTTTTCGATGCTGAAGGTTAATGTTCTCCCTCTCCCTCTCTCTCTCTCCCTCTTTCTCTCCGTCAAGCCTGGAAAGGAAGATAAGGGAACTCAGGAATTATTAGTAAAGACATCATAAGGAGAAGCTGGGAGGTGCTCAGAGAGGGCAAGTAACTTGCTAAGGATAACATCGCAAGTTTAGAGCCAGAAAGGCAACCTGGTGTCACTGCCAGAGGGCAGCACAGCGGCCACAGCCTGCAAGAGGAGGCATGGAAGAGTTCAGACTCACATCCAGATCCTGTTGCACCATAGCTCTGTGACTTTGGGATACTTTGAAAGCTATGATGCCTGCCTCACA